AAAAAAAAAAAAAAAACTTAAAAAAAAAAACTGACTTTAGCTATGGCTTTTGTGTACTAACTTTTCAATTGGCCTCCTAGAACTAGTCCTAGCTAATACGTATTGAGGAATTATAAGGTGCCAAATAGTGTTCTAGGCACTCTCCATGTAGCCCCAGTTCATCCTCACAATAACCTTATGAAATAGGCTGTACTGTTATCTCTATAGAGGTGACAAATGAAGCACAGAGAGAAATTTAACCTCCCAGGGTCATACAGCCAGAATTCCCACTCCACAGCATATGCTCTTAATAACTTATTACTGTTCTACTCTTCTTATCCTTTTATTCTGATTTTGGTTGTCTATTTCAATCTCCTTACATTGTATATACGTTAGCAGACTCAAACCCTTTCTGGGACATAGCAGCATATCAACATAAATTATTTGGTTATCTACCTTGGATATCTATCCCGAAAGATTCTTGGAGTTTAAAATGATTAAGTGTCTAAAATGCATTTCATTCATTTTACTTGGGCCTCTATTCTCTCCGTCTTAGATGTGTACAGAACCATCTTTGGTCTCTCAGGGTAGAAACCTTGTGCCCACCTTGACTGCTTCCTCCCTTCACAGCACATATCCAACCCAACACCCAGAACTGTCACTGGTAGTTCTAAAACTTATCTTAACTCTCACTCACTATCCCTACTAGCACTTCTTAGCTCAGATCTTTTTTTTTTTTTGGCCAGGGCTGGGTTTGAACCCACCACCTCTGGCATATGGGGCCAGCGCCCTACTCCTTTGAGCCACAGGTGCTGCCCCTTAGCTCAGATCTTAACATTCTGTTTGGGTTCAAAGGCTATGCAGCTCCAACTTCCAAAAGATACAGCTGATGCTCCTCAAGAAAGTTTCAGCCTGTCTCCATTTCAGCTCCTGTGCCTCAAGCAGGTCACCTCGACTACTTACTGTGCTGGAGACACAGTAGCCTCAAATATTCACATTGCCAAGTTTCCCTCCCTGGCAAAACCTTATACAAATACTATCTCTTCTAGGAAGCTCTTTGGAACTTCCCCCAGCAGAATTACTCCCTTCCCTCTCTTTTCTGTGCTCCCACATCATTTATTATATCACAGCACACATACTGTACAACACACACACTGTATAAACACACATATCTTTTAAGCTAGAATGCATGTTTTGACATAGGGTGTTTAATCATTCCTTCATTCCCAAATGCTAGGCCAGGTACAGGTTGTATAGGAGGTAGATTCAATAAATATTTGTTGTTTATGGGTAGCAAAGTTTGGGAAACAAACAAACAAAAGCCCCCCCCGCCTCTGATATCTAAAGCAAATGGAAAACAGTTTCAATAAGGAGTTATGAGGCTGGGCACAGTGGCTTGCGCCTCTAATCCTAGCACTCTGGGAGGCCAAGGGGGTGGGCCCCTGAGCTCATGGGTTCGAGACCAGCCTGAGCAAGAGCGAGATCCCATCTCTAAAAATAGCCAAGCATTGTGGTGGGCACATTTAGTCCCAGCTACTTGGGAGGCTGAGGCAAGAGTATCACTTGAGCCCAAGAGTTTGAGGTTCCTTTGAGCTATGAAGCCACGGCACTCTACTGAGGACAACAAAATGAAATGCTGTCTCAAAAAAAAAAAAAACAAAAAAACTTCTACTTATCAATAACCTAGACTCACAAATAGATATATTGCCAAGATAAGGCAATCAAAACAGTCATAACATCTACCTCTATATCCTCCGAGAGTATTCTCAGCCTTAGTGTTTCTTGCAGATCCAGTATATCTCCTTCCTGCCTCTTGATCAATGCTTTGCTCTCTTCTTTATCCACCAAAGCAGAGTTGTATTTGCACTGTAGAAAAGAAAGTTATGATACAACAGCTGCCTGTTTTATTATGTTTATCTGTAGATTAAAACATCAAGAATCAGTCTGAGTTCCAAGGTGATGATCAGACTAACACAAGTTAATTCAATAAATACTTGCTGAATGAAACAATATAAGAACAAATGCATGGATGATAAAAAAAATGGAAAAATCATATAAAAACAGATTATTTTTCCTCTTTATCAGGAAACTGCTTTTGGAAATAAACATGAGAGTACAGCGATCTCCTTCTAAAGTAGAAGAATGAGGAGTGTTGACAAACACTTTTACATTGACCCAAGCAGAGGGGAAAGGATCAACATTCAACATAGATTTACACTGGCTAAATAGCTACTTTAAGAAATGACATTAAATACATTATTGGAGAAACAAACTGATTTTCTAGATGATTAATGTCTCTAAATTTAACTAAAATATGTTATTTTTTCTTAAAGCAACTAAGGAAGACCACACCAGCCTTAACTGTATCAGCCATCATCCAGTTTATTCTTACTCAATTTAGAACAGCAATTCCCACAGGGTGCACTGTCCAATAAGAACAGTGAAGTTTTACACACTGTTTCACCTCTCAATGTTCTGGCATTCACCAGATCAGTGCCTGGATTGCTGGATATCACTAACCCTTTGAATGACTGAGTAAATGTTAACTTCCTGTCCCCTAGGCCCACTGCAGCCTTCACTGCCTCCCAGGGGTGCACACTGCACCACGGCACAGCAACGGTGCTACGAGTGCTGCCAATATGGAAACCTGTTGAGTGGGAACCATGATTCCCAAACTTTGACCACAGAATCTTTTTTTTTTGGTGGAACATTTCCTAACCTCTTGAGGAGTCTGTAAAGTGTCTCATGTTCAAATTTAGAGTGTTTTTGGTGACTGAACTTACATTTATGTCCTTCAATTCTTGTTCCAGGGTGTCTATGATTTCCGTTTTCTTACAGACTGATGTTCTTAGCTCCTGGATCTGATTCATGAGGTCACTCACAACTTCCTGATGAGGACAGAAACAACATTTTCATGTCCAAGGATGCTAAACTAAAAAGGAGATAATTTTTTTTTTTTTGCAGTTTTTGGCTGGGGCTGGGTTTGAACCCACCACCTCCGGTATATGGTGGGTTCAGCACCCTACTCCTTTGAGCCACAAGTGTGGCCCTTAATTTATTTTTGTATTTGAGACAGAGCCTCAAGCTGTCCCCCTGGGCAGAGTGCTGTGGCATCACGGCTCACAGCAACCTCCAACTCCTGGGCCCAAGTAATTCTCCTGCTTCTGCCTCCCAAGTAGCTGGGACTACAG